CTCTGTCTAGCAAGTACCAAAATTTCAAAGTCTCAGAAGGAAAGCAGGTGTTCAGCATAAACCACATTGTTTATACAAAAAGTTTAGAGACAGTGAGCTGCTCTTCGTCACAGTTTAAGGCACAGTGAGAGCATGGTGGGAAACCTCCTGAAATCCAAGTTCCCAGATGCCAACCAAAGGCCAATCTTGGGAGCAGGCCTTTCTAAGGATAGCAGTATCTAGCTGTTTTTGCATAGATACCTAGCCTAGTCTTAGGGGATAGGAATGCTTAGGGAAGACGATTTCTAGGTTGTGTGAAGAATGATGCTATGGACTTAACTGTGTCTCTTCCCCCAAACCAAAGAAAATCCATATGTTAAAGCCCTAACCCCTAATGTGACTGTATCTGGAGACAGGGTGTACAGGAGGTAATTGTGGCTACATGATTAAAGGTTATAAGAGTGGGGCCCTAATTCAAAAGGACTATGGTCTTATAGAAGAGTAAGAGAGAGAGATGTCTCCTTCTCTCTCCACCATGTGAGGACACAGCAAGAAAGCAGCCATCTGCGAGCCAGGAAGAGAATCAGCCAGTACCTTGATCTTGGACTTCCAGCCTCCAGAACTGTGAGAAAATAAATTCCTGTTGTTTAAGCCACTCAGTCTGTGGTATTTTGTTATGGCAGCTCAAAACAACTAAGACAGATGAGCTGAAGAATGAGAACGACTGCTGGAGACAGATCAAACAGAGATGCAAAGGTCCTGAGGTGAGAAAGAGAGAGACTTGAAGAGCTGGAAGTAAATGTGACTTTTTTCAGTCCTGTTCTCTTCTCAAGTGATCTCATCACTCTTCCAAATCCCACAAATCTAAGCAGAGGCCAAGTTCAATTGTTCTGACCTTTTCAGTACTTAGCAATTCCCTCTCCCCATCTCAATATGGCCATTTCACCTTGGTTATTGCAACAATATCCTAGTAGGTTCCTTGCCTCTAGTCTCTCTCCTCTCTAGCACATTTGCTATACTTCCTTAAAGGTGAAGCGAATCATGTCACCCTCCTGCTTAAAAACCTTCAGTGGTTCTTGACAGATAACCCTCACCTTACATTCCAGATTTCCAATCACAACCCTTCGTGCTCTGACTCTTCTCTTTCTAGGCTCATATCTCATAATTTGCCTCACATTCGCCCTCACCACATACCCAAAGGCCAGGACTACTGAGCCACCTGCAAGTACTGAGAATATACATATGCTTCATCCTCCCTTACTTTTGCACAAGCCATTATGTAGGGCATCCTCTGAAGACACTGCTATAAATTCTAAGCATTTTACATGAATATGTCTTAATCTACACCACAACCATATCAGCAAGTACTACTATTCTCTCTACTTTATAGATGAGGACACCGAGGCACGGAGCAGATCAATGACTTGCTGGAGCTCACACAGATAATATGTTGCAGCCCTGGGTTTGAGCCCCATACTCTAGTTCCAGAGTCTGTCATCATAAACACTGTGCTGTACAGCCTGACTTCACCATGCTTTGCCACTGCGCCATCCACTTGGTGAATTCTTATTCATCCTTCAGTACCCAACTCAAGTATCACTTTCTCCATGCCGCTTTCCCTGCTCCCCCAGTCACTTCCTTCCAAGCATTGTCCTTGCATCTTGGTCACATTCCTGTTACTATGCTTGCCACACTCTATTGTGTCCAGCTAAGAACCTACCCAACCCTGTACAGAGCTCAGGTTGCACCTAAGAACTACCCTGCACTGTGGGAGTCCCCACATTTCTTTTCTGAATAGCCCTTTGCTCACCCAGTCCTCATTGCAGTCTCTTGCTATCATTTACCAGCCCTCACTCATCCTCAGCTCCTTGCCTGCTTTAGCCCTTCAGTTTGACACATTGTTTGCTGCTTTGCCAACTCTCGCTTTTCCTGCAATCTTTCCTGAACTCTCCCTCCCCTGGCTGAAAACCTAATAGTGCATGACCCCATTTCAGCATGACCCTGGGGAGTTGCCGCCACAGGCAGGCCTAAGTGGAAGGAAGGGATGACCCCCAGCCTGGTTCTGGACAAGTCACGCTTGGTTTAGCTCTTTTCTTCGGTTTTACTCAAGCTACCTCATGGGGCTAAGAAGTTATTAAAGGAATAAATATCTTACAGAAAATCAGGGAAACTAAGTACCAGGTTCCGGAAAAACAAGAAAGCCAGTAAAGTTGGACTGCGAGCCCTTCACTCCTAGTGCTTCACCATTTATACAACTCAGCTAATATCCAAGTGGCTACTTCTTTTATTTCCAGTTAGCAATTGGTTTATTTTTCCCCCCTATCCTGCACATTCTTTCAAACTTCATAGCTTCTCTTTATTCATGGTGTCTGCTTCTGTAATTTGGATATGCCATGATCTCATGATTCTCTCTATGCAAACGTTCAGCTTCAGCTCATTACAAATGTCTAATTCTCTTTGTGTTTATAATTTCAGTTGCCCAAGAACAAGAAGCTGACTGGCCCCAGGCCATCTTTCCATGTCATGTCATGATGTATCCACTAATGTCCATTCTAAGAATTGGCAGTCTTTGAGTCTACAGCTAATATTAATCTAATTAGCTGTGACAGCCCTGGCTGGTTTGGCTCAGGGGTTAGAGCGTCGGCCTTCGGACCAAGGAGTTGTGGGTTCAATTCCAGTCAAGGGCACGTACCTCAGTTGTGGTTTGTCCCCCACCCTCGCTCTCCCTCCCTCCATCCCTCCTACTCTATCTGAAGATAAACAGAAAAATATCCTCAGGTGAAGATTCATAAATACATACATAAATACATAAATAAATAAAACTGATAGTATGTGGCATTATATAGAGGTAAGTCCAGCAGGTGTGATTCAGTGGATTGAGCATCGTCCCATGAACTGAGAGGTCCTGGTTCAATCCCCAGTTCGGGCACGTTCCCTGGTTTCAGGCTCCATCTCCAGTAGGGGGCATGCAGGAGGCAGCCGACTGATGACAAATTAATGTTTCTATCTCTCTCTCTCCCTTCCTCTCTCTTAAAAAAAAAATCAAGCCCTGGCTGGTTTGGCTCAGCAGTTAGAGCATCGGCCTGCGGACCGGAGAGTCCCAGGTTCAGTTCCCACTAAGGGCACATACCTCGGTCACAGTTTGTTCCCAGCCCTGGTTGGGGTCTTATGGGTGGCAACCAGTCGATGTATCTCTCTCACATCGATGTTTCTCTCTCTCTTTCTTCACCCCTCTTTCCTTCCTGCTCTATCTGAAGAAAAATGCAAAAAATGTCCTCGGGTGAGGATAAAAATAATCGATAAAAACATTAAAAAAAAAAAAAAAAAAGATCCCTGAAGGAGACCTAAAGTGCCTGATAACTGTGTCTAATTAAAAAAAAAAAAGATTTGGGGGTAAGAGGATTTAAAATGAAAACCTGGCTCCAAGTTCTCAAGTTGAAAGTCTGGAAGAATGGCAGGACCATTAGCAGAGACAGGGAAGAAGGGAGAGAAATGGGTTTAGGGAAAACAAGTAATTTCTTAATTACTGAGTCTGAGGTTCAAGTGATTCAAGAACAAGTGAGCCCTGGCAGGTTTGGTTCAGTGGATAAAGGGTCAGCCCGAGCACCAAAGGGTCTCAGTTGGATTCCCAGTCAAGGGCAATACCTGGGTTGCAGGTTTGATCTGGCCATGCTCCGGGTCCTTCAGGAGGCAACCAATCAATGTGTCTCTCTCACATCGGTGTTTCCTTCTCTCTCTTTCCCTCCCTCCCTCCTTCCCTTCCACTCCATCTAAAAATCAATGGAAAAATATCCTCAAGTGAGGATTTAAAAAAAAAGAACAAGTGAAAATGTGGATCTGGAGTAACTGAGCAGAGATGAAGATTTGCTCAGAAGTGACCAGGGGAGCCTGCAAGAATGAAGCCCTCTCAAAGCCATCATTTCATTTGACAGTCATAACAATCTTACAAAATAGGAAAGGCAACATCACCTATTTTTATAAATAAGGAAATGGAGGTTCAGAGGAGTAAGTGGTTTTGCCAAAAGCATTGCAATGAATAGACTCAGGATTAAAACCCAGAGCTTCTATTCTTACTACAACTCTAACTCCATTGCCAACTGCACACAGATACCTGCCCAACTCTAATGGGACACTTTTTTTCTTTTAAGTATGTTTTTATTGATGTTTTGAGAGAGAGACAGAGAGGGGGGGGAGAGGAAGGGGGAGAGAGAGAAACATCGTTTTGAGAGACTTCTATGGGCTGCCTCCTGCATGCCCCCTACTGGGGATGGAGCCCACAACCTGAGCATGTGCTCTGACCCGGAGTGGAATCAGGACCTCTCCGTCCATGGGAGGATGCTCAGTCCACTGAGCCACATCAGCCAGCTCATGGGTCAATTTTTAATTGCAGTAGTTGGGCTTTGGAGTTTTGTTGTTTAACTGCTGTCGGTTTAGAGAGAAGTTTAAGACCAAGGTGCTGCACTTGGCACAAATCCCCACTCTGTAAACTATCTTCAGTGTGAAGAAGGAACACATAGCCCGGGCTTCTAGGGAACGTCTCTGTCGCTGTGGACCAAACCCCCCGTTGCACGATTTTAAACGTTATCTTCCTGCGTGTCCAACCTGAATGAGCAGAATGAGTTCCTACAAAGAAAAGATCCACCCACGGCTAAGGCCGGACTTCCCGAAGACCGCTGGGTAAAACTTTTAATTCAAAAAAGTCAAAAATCTTCAAGGTTCACAGGACAAGGAGAGATTAAGGTTTCATGTGTTTTAAGTGAAGCTGTGTGTTCAGCTGACAAGCCCAGATCTGCGCGGCGGGGGCGGAGGAGGGGCCGGGGGAGTGAGTCAGGCGGCCGCGCGGGCGGGGCGGCGGGGACCAGGGGGCCGGGCGGGGACCAGGGGGCCGGGCGGGGACCAGCGGGGCGGGCGGGCGGGGACCAGCGGGGCCGGGCGGGGACCAGCGGGGCGGGCGGGCGGGGACCAGGGGGCCGGGCGGGGACCAGCGGGGCGGGCGGGGACTAACGCGCCCGCCGCCGCCCAGAGCTCGCCGCGCCGCTCCCCGCTCACAGCCTCCGCGCCTCGCTCCACTCCGACATGGTAAGCCAGACTCTTCATCCATCTTCCTCTGAAATCGCAAGGAGAAGTCAGGGCATACTTTCCACCCGGCTTGATCTTTGATTCCTGTGTGTACGCGGCAGGGAGGAGCGCAGGAAAAAGCGGCCCGCGGGAGGGGATCGGGAAGAGAGGCGGCAGGGACCAGCCCTAACGCCCTGCCTGGGTAACAGCCCGGGGTGGCCGCGGGAGAGCCTTTGTTTCCCGGGCGAAGATAAGGGCTCGGGCTGGGCACGCGGAAGTGCGCGGCGAGCCCTGCGAGGGAGGCCGCTCGGGTCCGGCTCGGGTCCGGCTCGGGGTCCGGCTGGGCGGCGCGGGGGCGGCGGTCCCGCGGGTGCAGCCTGTGCGGGGCGCCCGCGCCACCCGGTCCGGAGCCGGGAGTCCCCCAATTACCAGGGTGGAGTTCAGGGAGCAGCCCCAGCTGTTCCTGTGGACCGGAAAGGGCGCATTTCAGAACTCTCGTCTGAGCCCTGGGAAAATCTAAGTTTTCCGTAACTAGCGGCAGAAGGCCAAGACTCGGAGACGGAAGCTGCCCGCCCAGGAGCAGAACCTCAGCCAAGAATGTGGGGCGAGCCCCGCCCAGCTAAGCCCCGCCTCCTTCCCTGCCCCCACCATCTTTTTAGGCACTCCTTGCACCACCTGTTTTCTCCTCCTAGTTCCTACCATCCCCACCTTCAATTCTCTCCCTTTTCAATTAAGCCACCAACAACATCTACTTCCTCTTTAGTGAAGGGAGGCAGCAAACTTCTGCCCAGGGACCAAATGGGGTTTCGGTTCCATCCCCAAGCTACCAATGGATTTTGCATTTTTAAATGGTTGAAAGAAAACCGAAGAAAGAATGATACTTTGTGACACGTGAAAATTATATGAAAATCAAACTTCAGCATCCACAAATCGTTTTATTGGTGCACGGCCACGCCCATTCATTTATGAGTTTTGTGTGGTTGCTGGACCGCTACAAAGGCAGAGTGACAGTCATTATGGACCACACTGGCCTAAAATATTTACCATCTAGCCGTTCACAAAACATATTTGCCAACCTCTGCTCTAGTGTGTCAATCCCCACCCACTCTTCCTCTTCTCCTTTCCACTGCAAAAAGGGACAAAGTCACATGGAAACTTGAAAAGCCAGAGCCAGCACCAACAGGCAACGAAACCTGGCATAATTGCCCTGGAGGAGGAAGGCGGATGCCACCATGGGTCCTTGGAAGGAAAAGAGAGATATTGGTTAAGAATGAGAACTGCAAAACTTGAGTCTTTTTCAAGCGTTACTTCTTTTTCACGTTCCGTTTTTTGTTTTTGTTTTTTCTTTCCTCAAATGTTGTGTTTAGTGTGCATTTCAAAAATCCTTTCATAGTACCCTTTTATCATACTGTTTCTCCTTTCTGTCATGGATCCCACCAAATACAACTCTATGGATGCAATGAGGTGTGTGCAGCGCTGGCCTCCGGGCAGGGGATCCGGTTCTCCTCACCTTTAGCCACTGTGCCACGTTGGGCAAAGCTTTCCTGTCTCTGGGCCTCCCTCCTTGGGAGCTGTCTCCAAAGACCCCTCCAGCTCTACAAATTTTGCAATTTCATTTCAGTAATTTGATAATTGTGTTTCTTTTGCTCTGGAAAATTACCTCTGGGGAGAAATGTACACGTTTTCGTTTTCTCCATGTGGCTGATAGCAAGTTTTCAAGAGGACAAAAATAGTCTAAATTACTACAGTCAAGAACAATGCTAAGGAGAAAAAAGTAAAGTAGAAGGTCACTTTGAAACTGAAAAAGCAAAGCAGTCTGAATTCCTCAAGGAAAGGGGGCAAAGGAAGCTTCTGTCAGTCTATAAAAAAATCACAAGTCCCTTTCTCCTTAGTCTGGAACCTTCTGCCCTCTCTGGTATGCCCTCCTAGCCAATCTTGTTCCTGTCATCTGACACATCAGTAAAACAGTGAGATTTTAGTCCTGATAAGAAAAGCTGTTGTGCAAACACGTCTGTTGCTAGGCTATCCTATTTTGTTTCTCCCCCAAACCCTGAACCTATCAACACTTTTCTCTCCTTAAGAAAAAGTTCCAACAATGTGATTGTGGGAAAGAATCCACCTCTGGAAGAGTTCTTTAGAACTCACCTTTGGAAGGGCTTTATGGTTCTCCAAGATGCAGTGGGTAGCGGGCACCTGGCTAGGCTGGTAAAACACCTAGAAAGGAGAAAAGAAGAAGACCGTCCGCCACACAGCCTCAGGGCTCTGATCAATCCTTAGCACCTTAATTGTGGGTCCCGAAAGCGTCTAGCTCTGAATTAAGGAAGTACATACCAAGAACAAATTAACGGCAAAGTGCTACATTGCTAAGTCACCATTCAAACAGTTCATTGTTAATGCCCTAGATAGTCTCAAAGAAAGGGTGTGGTCCTGCACGTTTTTCAGAATGTCTGCAGTTGCGCTCTTATCCACCAGGGGGAGTCCAGCAGTTCCTCACTTCTAGGGCCCAAGGTTCCCACTAGGATGGATCATGGGCACACTCAGCAGGACGGAATTTACTTGAAGACTTCTGTTGAAGGGAAAGCAGAGCCTAGCACAGGATTTGAATCTCCTGCCCCTGGTGCTACCACAGCTGTGGTCCAGCTCTGGAAATCACGGGAACTGTCTGAGCAGCAACCTGAGAATCCCCATATCAACCTTCCTGATTTGAAGTAACCAGAGAAGTTCCAACAGCCATTCCTGTGGGGACTTATGGTATCTGGAAATAGAAGGAGCAAAGGCTGAGGACTACAGAAAGGGACCTGGAGGCCGAGATTCTAGGAGTGGCTCTGCCATGCCCATTCCGTTCTCATGCTGCAATTTCCTCATGTGAAAAAGACATGGTTGCTACCCAGCTGGAGTGGCTCAGTTGGTTGAGCATGGCCCTCTACACAGAAAGGTTGCCAGTTCAATTCCCAGGCAAGGGTACATGCCTGGGTTATGGGTTTGATCCCCAGTCAGGGCACATATAGAAGGCAAATGATCAATCTTTCTCTCTTTTTCTCTCTTTCTGCCTCTCTCTAAGCATGTCCTGAGGTGAGGATTAAAAATAATAAGTAAATAAATAAAACACATGGTGGTTAACGTTCAAATATGAAAGCTGCTTTTGAATATCCAAAAAATTCTCAGCTCCCTCACTCCGTACACAGTAATAGCTATGCTTTTACTTTTCTTCTAGAAAATACATGAGTCCCAGGAAATCAGCATTGCTTTAAAAAGAACTGCCATTTAATTCACCACAGTAGTCTATATATTCTTGGAAAACAGAAAAATGTAAGATCCAGAGACAATGCTTGGTATGCACATGGATTTGTGGATGTACACTTGTACATATATTTACCCACGTTCTAAAAATATCAGTAGACCCTGTCACTCTTACTCTCATCTCGGCAGTCGACGGCTTTCAGGCTTACCCACGTGTGCCGTGCTTACTCTCACTATATTTCACCTGGAAATAACATGACGAGCTGTGGGAGGGAATCACAAAATGTGACAGTCTGTGCTTGTCCTAGGCCCCTTAGCCTCCTATAAAATGACCCAGTCTTTTAGGAAACTGCTTTGACCCAGAATGAAGAGATGAGGATGAGAATCTCTGGAGTGTTCTCTAGCATCCAATCCTTGATATGTTGTCCTTATCTGAGCCCTGAATTTTTTTTCTCCAAAGGCAAAAATGTCCAGCCCTACAGAGACTGAGCGGTGCATCGAGTCTTTGATTGCTGTTTTCCAGAGGTATGCTGGAAAGGACAGTAATGCCTTCACACTCTCCAAGACTGAGTTCCTAACCTTCATGAATACAGAACTGTCTGCCTTCACAAAGGTACTGGGCCCAGCCCTCGCTCCGCCCCCCCTCCCTCCCCCCACTACCCAGAGCATAAAACAAGACTGGCAGAATGGCCAGGAATGAAGGGCCAGCAGCAAACCCCACCCCCACACTCCTGCCTTCTTTTTATTTACTCAGGGGGCGGGGGAGTTTCCCCGTAGCAACCTAGGCTGAGCTCCTAGGTCTCAGAATGAGTTCTGAGTAAAGGATCTTTTCTCCTCCTTTTCTTCCGATACGATGCATTTTAAAGATCAAAACTATCAAATTACCTGCCATAGGGAAAACTTCCCTACCATTTGGGGAATAGAGGTTGCAAAATGGTAAATGACCTGACAGAACAGTTTTCCCATTTTATTCCTCTACCCCAAAGCCTCCAGGGCAGTCCTGGCCAACAGAGCTTTCTGCAGTGATAGAAAAAAGTTCTATATCTGCACTACCCAGTATGGTAGCCACATGTGCCTGTTGACTTTCTAAGTTAATTCATTTAAGTAGCCATATAGAACCAGTGGCTGTAAGTGTATATATGTTGGGGGCTTGGATGAGTGGAGGATGTGGCAGATAGACAGGGGCTGTATCCTGTTTTCACTTCATATCACTCGACTTTTATATAGTTTGTATATTGGAATTGCATGCAACACTTGGAAAAAGTGTTCCACTGTTTTTATAAAATTGAAAACCCCTGACTGTCGCATAAGTTACCTTGGACTAGGAGCCAGAAAATCTGGGTTCAAGTCTCAGGTCTTCTCTTTAGGCAGGTCATTTTACCTCTGTTTCTGTGTCTGAGTAGTGGGACTCCTAGAACCCCTACTCTTGTAAGAAAGTACAATATAAAGGTACCATTAATACTATCATTATTATTGTTATTATTACCTTTGCAGAACCAGAAGGACCCTGGTGTCCTTGACCGCATGATGAAGAAATTGGACGTCAACTCTGATGGGCAGCTAGATTTCCAAGAATTTCTTAATCTTATTGGTGGCTTGGCGGTAGCTTGCCATGATTCCTTTCGCAAGTCCCAGAAGCGTGTCTAAGGAGTCCTTGGAGGTGGCCTCCAGACCAGCCCCTTTCCTTCCAGCTTCCCAGTCACTATCACCTTCTCACAGACCACACAGACCCTGAGCCCAGCATACCTACCACCCCAGCAGGCCTCTCCTGGAGCAACACGGCGTGGTAATAAAGCATATTTTTTAAAATACACACTGGAGAGTCAGTACATTTGTGTCAGGGAAGGAGAAGAGTGGGAGGAATGTAAATTGGATTGATGACAGCAGTTACCGGAAGCTGCACAGTAAATAGTAGAAATACATTTTGGATATATACATAATCATGACTAATGATACCAACAGAACCATCTTTAAATTACTCAGACTGACGGAGAGATGTCACTGGTCATTACTCACTCGTTGAATATATCTGTTTACGGGCATTGACACAGCCTCTAGCGATGCAGCCAGCAAGACAAGCAAGTCCCACCTTCACTGAGCTTACCTTCTAATGGGAAAAACCAGTGAACGAATAAGCAAATAAACAAGGGACTACGAGAGTATGATAAATCCTAAGAAGGAACAATTACGAGGTGGTTTGTCACAGATTAACGGGAACTGGAGAGGGCAGTCTTCCGAGGAGATGGTACTTGTGCTGAGATCTGAAGGACAGGAAGGAGCAAACATTCGGAAAGATGGAGGAGGGCATTTCCAGAGGAACAGCAAGGGCAGAGGTCCTGGGCCGAGAGGGAGCGGGACGGGGAAGAACAGAAAGCAGGCTAACGTCAAGGTCTTTGTTTGGCTGTGGGGTAGTATCAACACTAGTTTTAATTTTTGAAGCCCTCTAGCAAAGCTGCAGGGAAAAAGCCTAGAAAGGTGCGCAGGCTGACCCAGGGTTCCAGACAACAGATTAGAGAGACAGGGAGAAGCGGGTTTAGAGGGTTAACACCCGTCCCGAAGGGGCACAATACACTGTTTACAGAGAACCTCTGATTCCTTACCCGGCTATGTGAGTTTTAACTTCTTAGTAAAAATCTCTCTGGATCACAGTTTCCTCCTTCATAAATTAATAGAATGAATCAGACCATTTCTGAGGTTTTTTTGTTTGGTTGGTTTTAGGGGGAGGGGGTTGGTTTTGAAATTCCAGAATGAAGGCTAATACCTCAGGCTATAAAGTCCCCAGATTTTTCAAGTAGAATTGTAGCTATGTCTTCTATGAGTTTTTTCATTCATTAGCAATACACGGTGGGGTGGGGGTGGGGGGCAGTTAAGACTATAGTCAGTGAAAGTTTCCATATCATTCCCTTGCTGGTACATCCTATATAAAAATAAAAAGTATTATTATCCCAAAGAACACTGAGCGGGGAAGAGATGGGAAAACAGCAGGCACCCTAAGGTCACTGGCCCAATTCCCTGTCCTACCAAGAAATCACTGGGCCTGGCTTTAAGACACCACACAGGGATCTAACCGGGAAAACTTCACTTTCGTGGCACCCTCAAGTTTTAATAAGACGTAAGATCCAGTCATTACCAAGCTTCTAAATTAAGATTCAGTTCGACAATTCTCTGCTTAAAGAGGTGGGGGAAGAGACCGCAGAGCTGACAGGGACAGAAGAGCATGGTTAAGAAGGCGGAGCTGGTGAACCACATCAGTTACTGTCATTCAACGCTGATGCTCCTCCTCAGCATGCAAAGCCTCCACATGCCTCGTATTCTGGTCAGTCTCATCCACTCCTGTGTCTTCATTTATTACGAGAGGCCAGTGACCACGCACATCTATCTCTTCGACCCGGTTCTACTCCTGAGCTTCAAAGCTGCCTCCTAGATTTTTCCACGTAAAATGATAGTTATCTTTCATGTGTTAACAAATATTTACTTACAATGTGTAAGACACTGTTCTGTGTGTCAGGCATAGGTGAATCTCTTGCCGGTGGAAATCATTTTCTTTCATGGGATTGCAAAGAAAGCATTTCCAGGGACCTGTGCACAAGAGATTGTGGTGTGGTAAGATTTATTTGGGGTGGAAATTGAAGGCTGCCCCCAGGTTCCTAATGTCTCGTCTCCATCCATCCCGCTGTGAGAAAAGTCCAATCTTGTCTTCATTAGGCCCAGAAATAGGGCCACTGTCCATACCAAAATTTAATCCATATCAAAGATTAGTCCAGTTCCCGGCTATGCCCCAGCCGGCTGGCTCTGCTGTATCCAGTACCCAGGCTCAGCTTGGAGCCTGCCTGAAGTCTGTGCCACCACCAGAGCCACACTAGGGCCACACGGTTGCTATGGCCACACGGTTGCTATGGAGAGAGAACACATGAGCAAACAGTGCCTGTGCTTGTTACCAGAAGAGAGAGAGAACTTCTGTGTTGAGCTGATTATATTGTCTCCAGTTTGGGAAGGACCAGGCACTTTTTCAAAATAATCAAGCAACTTCCTAAGCTTTGATGGGCTTGTGTTGGGCCTGCCCTCCGACCATTCCATTTCCTAGATCTTCCTGGATTCTGTGTCCCTTATTCAATCCAATTCTTTTCCCAGGCTAGACTGGCTCCTGTTGCGCATGTGCTTACCTCCCCTCATGGTCTGGGCCAGTGGACCTGGGAGATTGAAAAGCTATCCCCAGGAGGGAGGCTGTTAGTCCTCATGATCGGGCAATGCTGCTATCCTCTGTAGTGTGTGAAGCTGTAGCTTCCTAATAAAGCAGGCTTATGCTTCCTAGTTGATTATGCTTAATAATGTCTGAGTTTCTTTACTCCTTTGATTAAAAGTTAGCTCCCTACACTAACAAATCAATAAGGAAGAGAATTTTCTTGTCCTCAAGAAGCTTGCATTCTCAGGTTCATCATATCCCACATTTGAACCTGCCATCCTCCCAAACCCGCAGCCTGTTCCTCCTCCATTCTTCCCCATCTCAGGAATTGGCGCCTCAATGCACGTAGTTGCCCCACTCCAAAGACATGAAAATCATCATTGACTCCTTCCCCTCTCTCCTCACATGCAACCAAATCCCCAAGTTCATCTGATTCGCCACTCAGATATCCCTGAGTTCATCCCCAGCCTTCCCTTGACCCCGGCCATCACCACCTCTCATCTGGATACGGCAGCAGCTTCCTAATTGGCCACACTCCTCTAACTTTGCCTCTCTCCAGTCCTTTCTCCTTTCTGAAGCCTCTGATCTGGTTGTTGTCCAGCTTAAAGACCTTAATGGGATCCCCAGTGATCTGTACATGGTAAGTCAGGCACAATGCACCCCCACTTCACTCACCACATCAACTGACCTCCCCTCCCTGCCCTCACACATGCACCCTTAAATTCCAGCCATACTGAGCTTGCTTAGTTCCCTCAACACACTGAGCTTCTCTCACCTCCTGGGCTGAGCTCTGCCCAGAGCACTGGCCTGCCTTCACCATAATGTACATTCCCACTTACCTTCCATCTCAGCATAGATGGTTTGTTCTCCAGGAAACCTTGCTCAGTTTCTTTGCGGGGATGATGTATCCCTCCCTTCTGCTATCATGCCCTGTACCTCCCCTTCCATAGCACTTACACTGATTGGTTGTCTATACACTGTGCATTTTCTCTGGGCAAACTTCTCCAAACTCATGGCTTTGATCTATATGTTCATGACTTAACATTTCTACATCCCCAGCCCAAATCTCTTTCCAGAATTCTCAACTCATCTATTTAATCTAACATCTCTACCTAGCTGTCCATAGCTAGGATTCTTCTTGCTGCGGGTGATTTAAAAAAATTCTACTTACATTGTTTTAAGCAAAGCAGAAATTTATTGACCTGTGTAACTGAAGAGTTGAGATAGCATTAGCTTTAGCACAGCTATTGGAGCTGGTGCCTTTCTCTGAATTCCTTGTCTCTGTTTTTGCAATGTTGGCTCCATTCTCAGGTCCCTTCCTGTGAGCTTGAGATGGCTACCAGCATTTTTAGGGCTACATCCTCTCATATGAGAATTCACAGACAGGTGTGAAAGCAATTGCCTTTACTCCAGAATTCTCAACAAAGTACTGAGATTCCCTCTGTTAGGAGCTTAGATCACATGATCACCCCAGGCCAATCAATGGGTCTGAAGGTATGCAGTGCACTGCTTAACATAGGCCTGGGTATGTACTTGACTCTTAGAACTGGGGTGGACCCTTATTCAAACTTCGAGAACCAATGTTGGGGAGAATAGATTAGGTGTGAGAAACGGATGCTGCAAAAACAAAGAACTAACACATTTTAAACTGGACTCTACATCTTTCCCCCAGAATAGATGAAATGCCTCCTCTATTTCATTCCTGGTATCAGTGAATTGCATCGTCAAGCACTCAAATGTCCAATTCAGGAACCTGGGGATGATCCTAGATTTCTCTTTCTCATGAAAACATCCAAAAACCACACCTTGGGTTTTGTCTCTTGCAAACTCATCCCCTCCTTTCCACCCTTGTCGCTTTATTTCAGACTCTCTTTTAACTGACCTGTTTAACCATGTCTCCATTTCCTCTATTAAAAAATCTGTGCCCAGAGAACCACAAATGCCCAAAGCTAAGAGAGAATTCTGCTGTGGCCCCATCAGTGGAATCATGTGTTCACTAAGATGTATTTGTGGTTGCTCTCAAACCTGCTCATACCAGTTGTACTTGATCTTGTTACCTGCAGTTTAATTAAGTAGTTCATAAACCAATAAAATATGAATGCAGAAAGACAGTTATTGTCTTTATGAAAGCCAAATTAAATTATTCTCAAAGACTTGACTAAAGAAATTCACTGAAGATCACTGTAACTTATGTAGGTGTAGCTGAGATAACTATAAACAAATGGGGGAAAGTCATAAATATCTAGAAGCAGCTTTCACTCAGATTGCCTCACAAGTACCTTTAAATTCTCCAAGTAACAAAAGTAATTGAAGTCATTATAAATGTGATTTATTCAAGAAAGGTAGTATAGCCCAGCTGGTGTGGCTCAGTGATTGAGCGTGGACCTATGTACCAACAGGTTGCCAGTTCAATTCCCAGTCAGGACACATGCCCAGGCTGTGGGCCAAATCTCCAGTGTGGGAAGTGCAGGAGGCGCCCAACTGATGTTCTCTCTCATCAATGTTTCTATTTCTATCTCTCTCTCCCTCTCCCTTCCTCTCTCTCTAAAACAGATCAATAAAGAAAAAAAATTTTTTAAAGAAAGGTAGTATAGCAAAATATTGGTAAATGTGCATGTGTTAAGTTAGGG